CAATGTTACCGGCGCGGCGTATAACGAGCAACTAACTCGATCCCACCATTATCACAAACGATCATCGTATACTGAACAGTTCCAATGTTTTTCATTCTTTTTTTACACGATATCATTACTCAAAAAACATGAATTTTTTAATATATAAATTGATAAAAATGGTCCAACTTTTTTTTTTACTTCAAAGTACTAACTATTAATAGTTTTTGTTTAAACTGCTCAGATAATTCGCTAATAAATATTTAATATAAAACAATTAGGGTGAAGTTGGGTAAGTGTAAATGAATAGGATAATTGTCAATACATATTTTTCTTAGAATATTTAGTGATTTTATTTTAAATCGAACATTTCTAGTCGTTATACGTGTTGCTTTCATATTAAATGCAAGTTCAAATTTGTACATTTATCAAAAAAAAAAAAAAAAATTTTTTTTACAATTACTCCACTTCATCCTATGTACTACTTTTTATTAATATTTAAATAAAGAATTATCAAGGCAAAATCATACAAAAATGAAAACAGGACAGCATATCTTGCTAGTGACATAAAATTTTATAATTCACAAAAATCAAATTGAACTATGATAATTTTAATATTACGATATATCGAACTTTTGTCTCGATATCAATATTTTATCGAAATAACGATTTCATAATCTGGCAGGATTTATTAATGAAAGTCCATTTATCCATAGATCTACCTAACTGGGTAGTTTTCTAATAAGAGTTCGAGTCCATGAACCTTTCTCTGTAGAGTATAACTAGATTTCCCACTGATATAGCATACATCGTTTGGATTCTATTATACAGCCAGGCTCTATCCTTTGAACCAGGCTCACGGCGTTTAACATACCGGTATACGCAACAAATAAGGCAGTAACTCAGTTTTTCTTATTTTTAAGGAGATCAAAAATAAAATTTATTTTTTTGATTACACTCTTTATATTTGAAGAGTGAATGTGTCAAACGTTCTATGTGCCAAAAAAGTGAAAAATTGTTTTCTTTCTGATTTATGTTCTATGTGCCAAAGGCCACAATCTTGTATGTGTTTCAAATGTCAATTAAATTTTTTACTTGTACAAAATTGCATTCATAGATGGTGTTCGATATGTGAGACATGCCCATGTTACCATTGTTTTTTGTGTTTTCTGAACAAATATGTTTTTGGCACATAGAACGTTTGACACATTCACTCTTCATTTATCAATTTTCTAAGTAGTTTAATTCGGGTTCTAACTAGAGGTCGCGATTGTGAACGGGTATTAGAATACACATACACACGGAGCCCGGGTACACGGGCAAAACATATATTAAAGCCCGTGTATTTAATACCCATGCATACATTGTATATATATATATATATATATATATATATATAATATTAAATATATGAGTATTTAAGGTCACGGCTATTTAAATGCCTGGGTATACACGGATATTTTTACTACACGTGCTTTAACCCCGTCATAGGTAAAAACACGGGTAGTTCATTACACGTGTAATCGCGACCTCTAGTTCTAACTAAATTTTCGATATTTTGATGATGAGTTAAACATAAATTCAATACCACATAATCTCCAAGTTGAATTTTTCAATTTAATGCCTTATATGTTGCGCTACGTTCTTTTTCTCCCTGCTACTAGCAGTTTCACAGGAGGCTTAATAATAGTTGTATACTTAACGGTTCTATAGACACATATACTCCGCATTGTTTTTCATTCAAGAAAATTTGTTTTACTAAAAAACTATACAATTTTTTAAGCAGTGCTGTAATAAAAACTCAGTGTTTCTTAATTTATATTGTTTAAATTTTTTTTATGATTTTGTAACAAATAAAATTTATTAAGGAAAAAGTATGGCTATTTGATTTTTGTTAATTACATTATATCAAAATATTACACTTTTATAATGATTTTTTCTATTACGATTTAAGTCCTCTTTTTGTACCTTTTTTTCCTCCAGTAATTTGTTTTTCTTTTGTTTTGTTGCTTAATAAAGGATGTACTTCTAAATTAATTATTTTAAAATAATTAAAAATTAATAATTGATTTTTAAAATTATTTATTTTGAAAACTTACCATCAGTAATATTATCTAAAGGAATGTCAAAAGTACGACATTTAGATGAATTTGATGCTACCGGTGGTGGTGGCATATCAGGTTCAGGATCTTCAATTTCAGGTGCAATAGGTAGAAACATTAAAGCATCTTTATGATCTTCAGATGCTTCTTCTTCGTCAGAACTACAAAATGCTGCAATAGGTTCAGCATTTTCTACATCTACCTGTTAACAATTTTTATGAAATGTTGTATTAATATAATAATAATATTAATAATAATTTCAATAAGTTAAAAATCAATCAAAATCGAACCTAAATTGTTTTTACAAGTTATATTTTTATTAAGTACCATATAATATAACATTTTTTAAATAATTTATTAAACAAAAAAAATATGGATAAGGCAGAAATAATGAATACCAATAATGAAAAAATTGTAAAATATTAACTGTATTTTTATGTTTTAATTACAGTATGATGCAGAGTATTCAATCGATAAAATTTATGAAATCATTTACATATAATTTCATAAGATCTAACTTTATAAAGCTTACTTCAAAGTCTTCATCACATCTTTGCACATCTTTTGTTATTGACTTATCCTCATCTTCTAAATCAAACTCAGACTCTCTTTCTTCATATTCAACATTTTCATCTAGTTCTTTAAAATCTGGAGCAAATGCAGACCAGTTTTCTACTTGATTTTGGGCCCAAACAGATACAAGTCCACTAGATATACTAGTTATTATTGCACGAACTGGATGCCACTAAATAAAATTAAAAACAAATATTATATTATTCATAATTTAACATTTTTGACATTGTAAAATAGTACCAGATAATTTTATAGTAAGGATTCCCAGTCATTGGTAAATTAGCCATTTATCAAAAATTTATATTTGATACACCAAAAATCATCTTTGTAAGTTTTAAATTTTTATTTTATTTTTGAATTAATTCTAGTATTTTTCAAGGAAATTTGAGACATACATTTTAAAACGGTCAAATGTTCAATAGTAAACAATTAATAAGCGTTAAATATATTTATTGAAATAACTTTTTGAAAACTGACAAATTATTGCTAACTTTTTATTGATTCAAGCATATGCCTTGCCCACAACATATATTTTTTGAAAATCCAATCATTAATCTAGATATTGTGGGAGCTCAAAAATCATTTAAAAATATTTTTTCAATTATTGATTATGTGTCCAAAAAACCTGAATTCTTTAAACTTATATTAAGTTAAAGCTACTAAAATGTACTTTAAGATAAAATGAGAAAAACTATTTAAAATCTTGATTCCTAGTAGTTATAAGCCACTAAAGCAGAAGATCTTACAATTTTCTTTAGAAATGGGTAATTTTGTAGTATTGCTATGGAATATCCAAATCATTTTAAATAACTTCTAATTAAAGCTTATATAATGTAATATGTGTTTAAAAAAGGTAAAACGTTCCAGAGACTTGAGTAGTAAAAAAGTCAAACATTCAACTGAAAGAATGTAAAAGTGTATCATTCATGAATAATGTTTTAAGTGCCAATAGCATCAATTCTGTACATATATTAATAACCAAAAAATTAATTTCTAGAACAAATATTAGCTTATCAAAAATTACCCTTTCTAAGTATTATGTCTTACACATATATTGAAAAATAAAGATTTTTGTTAAAAATATATAGTTATTTTAAATTGATAATACTTATTCAATTAAATTTTATTTTGACACTTCTATTCTTCAAATGAAAATATAATATATTTATTTTAAATATTTACAAAATTTTAATTCAATAAAAATACTGATTATCATATAAATTAATATACTTTTACTTAAAACATGTATTACACCATTTAGACCTTGCACATAAAACATAACAAAGTTTTATTTTAGGTATAATAAAATGACAAATATAATGATTGAACCTAACCAAGATATAAATATATAGTAGAATTCTAATATTTGGTTTCATTGATAATTTTTACTTTTTTGAAAGTTTTTCATGGTTCTTAAAATAAACAATTTCTGACATATAGAGCATTTAACATTTTTACCCTTCAGTCGCCTTTAGAAGGGTTAAAATAATTAAAAAATTTTCTTTATTTAATTAGATGCATTTAATGTAACAATAGGTTTTATTCATTATTAATAACCTAGTATATAAAAGTTATTGATAAATTTAATTTAAGTGTAAAAATTGCAAAAATTCTCAGTTTCATTCAAAAACATTAGAGATACTTATTAGCCATACATGCCAGGTGAGTAACCATAAAAGACATTCTTAGATTAGAGGTTATTTCATCGATTACAATATAGATATTTCCCAGCTCGTTAAGTACAACACCTAACATGACTCATTCTAGTAATAAACTGTGAAAAGTGTTTACGTATCTAAAAGTAATATGTTGTGAATGACAGCAAACTGCATTATTCTATTTCTTCCACCCAAAAATTTCGAGTGGGTAATAACAATAGATATTTCTACGCCCAATCTGGATACTTAGGAAAAACTAGACGAGTTGTTAAAATATAATATTCCAAAGTCTGCTGAATACCAGTGAGTATTATTTTTGTCTGTATTCATTAAAAAAAACATCAAAATATAAATTTTTGTTGGCATATGAAAATTTTTTTTACTTCCTTGCATATTTATAAATTCATCCCTCTGCTAATTAATTGGTATATAGCCTTTCATAGTTAAAAAAACGGGGTCGAGTAAGCCAACCATTAAGACTGTACAACAACTGCTATTTCTACCAACTTTAGTAAATATTGTTCAGCATTAATACCAACTGTTTCCCAAATTTGAAACACAAGCACTATAACATATTTCTGTCGAACACAGTGTTCTAAGTAACATATCATAAATTAACCCCAGTTGTTGGTCTTTTTTATAAAACTATGCAATCAATCTTGAACAATGTTGTTAAAAATGTATTGTTTCAATATTATCACAATGAAAACTAAAGAAATATCAATATTTTACTTGGTAATCTATAAACACAAGTAATTAAATAATCTATTTCATATTTCTTAAAATACACATTTAATAAGAAATTGAAATTCAATATTATCCCCATTTTCAAAATTTTTAACATTTTCTTCGATATAAACTGTGATACACCATTTTAATTCATTTAAAATGCCTAAAGAATTATAAAATTTATACCCTTACAAATAAAATTTTTACTCTACATTTAACCATGTTTCATAAAAAATTGTTACATTATAATTACTATAGTTGTATTTAACATAATTATAATAACAAAAGTATGATTACTCACAACAACATCTAATAAAAGTTCACCTTTTGTGCCATGTAATATTTTGACTAAATTACCAATACTTTTTTCCCAAATATACAAAGCATGTTGTCTAGCAGAGCCTGCACATATATATTCTCCATCTCCCGAGAAACAACATTTTTTCCACATTGTTCTATGTGTACCAAAAAAAAAAAAACATATAGATTAAAATTAGAATAATTGAATAATATAATTTTATGATATTTTTTTCACCTAACAGTGCAAATATTTTATTATAAATTAAAAAAAACAGTTAATGTGTTAATTTTTATTTAATAATTTAAAAAAAAATTAGGTGCTTAAAAGGAAGCAACATGAGCGGTAACATGTAGTTATAATTTTGAAACCCCAGAAAAAAAAATTAAACAAATTTTTGGATTCATAAAAAAAGTACCTAATAAATTACATAATTTCATTATTACGCATGTTTAGTATAAAAGTTAAATAAAATAGCTTAGTAATTTACATTTTTGTACACCAAAAAAAGTTTTATATCTTATATTAATAAAATTTAAAAATATATGTGACTTTCACTAAAACATGATATTTAATGTGCTAAAATTATTAATTTGTAATCTTAAATTACATGTAGTAACATGTAACATCTAAATTTCGATCAAAAAATATTTTTTATTTCATAAATAAGACTTCTGCTACACTAAAGTACTAAAATAATAATAATAAGACTAATGATATAGTTACTATTATTTGTTTGTCATATTCAATTATGTATTTTATGAATCAATTATGTATCTATACTGAATTATTTATATGATAACATAAAAGTAAAAAATATTTGTGATAAGACTAAACTATACTGAACTTCAGACAAATTTTAAACTTATTTCCTTAAACACTAGTTTTTAAACAATAGGTCCCCTTTATAGCATTAGTCCGTATAAATATAAATGAAAACAAATCATATATTAATGATTAATAGTTAATAAATACAAACTTGTTAACTAAGTCTTGAAGTTTTTGAATAGGCTCTGTATCTCCATCTTTACCTTTTTCTAAAACATGCTTGGCATTATAAACTCTAATTACTCTATCAGAACAGTTAAGCAAAAAGCAATTGCCACGTCTAGCAAATTCAATGCTTTTGATACCAGTCATTCCAGTTGAAACTTTGAAAGATGCTTTAAGCTCAAGATTAGGACAATTTAATACCAATATTTTCCCTCGAGCATTACCAGTGTAAATATATTGACCTCGTCTATCGAATGAAGCAACTATCATGAGATCTGACTAAATTAATGATTTAAAATATTATTTGTATTTAGCTAAAAATAATTAATAAATAAAACTAATAAAATTATTACATCATCATCTAATGGAACTATTTTGTGTTGACCATCAATGTCTACAAGAACAGCCGCATGTTTCATTGGACATACCAGAAATACATTTTTTTTTCTAGGATGAAACTGAACTTTTAAAACAGGCGAAGGAAACTTGTACATTTCTTCCCTTTCACCAGTTAGTATATCCCAAGTGCAAACATTATTATCCGTAGAAGCACTTAATAATTTTTGTCCACTTCTAGACCAGCTAAAAAAAAAAATAATAGGTAACTAAATACATTATAATAAAAAATAGCATTCCTAAATCAATGGTATATCTAATACTTGTAAAAGTGTTTTCACAATTTATTAATGTCTAATAATACTACTACACATTTATAAAAATATGATCATAAAAGGAACTACAGCCTAGAACATTTATCCAGCCCTTTATATTCATAGATAAATAAATAAATAACTATGTATACAATTATCCCAATGGTATTTTGATATTATAGATGTAAGGGCATAAATAGGTAGGATAAAATTTGAAATAATGGTAAAAATAATTACATATCAAAGATAAATTTATATTTAAATTAGATGGAATAGTAAACATCTCTCATATGTGGCAGATTTCCCCATTCATGAAAAAATTTTGAGCGCATTTCTGATATGGTATAGTCCCTAATCAGGTAAATTATTTAGTCCTGTCTATGAATATTGATGCGATTGCATATTTTCTTCAACTGTCCAGCATGCGATTTACCTAAATGGGTATGTATCAGAAACATGATAAGTTCACAGTGGCCTATTTCTAAGTGAGTTTTAACCCCACATCATCTATCTTTTTCTCATAATTTTCAATATATTATCCTGACAATCTATCAGTCCCCAAAAACTATGTCAATATGATCAATATTCAATTTTTAGAAGAATATATATTTTACCTTAATGAACAAACAGGATGCATATGAGCTGTAATAATTTTTGCAATTCCTCTAGTTAAAAAATCCCAAATTACAATACGACCATCATTACAGCCAACAGCTAATAATGTTCCATATTTATTAAATACACAAGTGACAGCTAATGATATGCTATCTAAAACACCATCAAACTCCTAAAAAATTATTTACATTACTATTACACAAGTATAATAAAATCACACTCATAAATACATTATATTGGTCATAAACTCAAATCAGAGGTAGATTGGATGACCTTAGCCCTTTCAAAAATTATTAACATACTTAACATTTTTTTTTTTTGAAAATTAATGCATTTATAATTTTAGAAATTATAAAATAATAATATCCTCTGACTTTTTTGAGGAATATATTTTAAACATTTGTGGATTATCATACAAACACTTTTATTTCAATAAATCATACATTAAAATTATTAAAACATAGCCTAGATGTATTTTAACTGATTAAAAAATATCTTATAATTCTCAAAAATAATGAGATGGACACAATAAGAGAATTAAATATTTGTATTATATATTGGTTGATTTTGTGTAATTTAACAAAAATCAAACTTCAATTAATTTTTTACAATATTATTAATGAAAAAATATAGAGCTCTATAACTGGTAAAGAGATACTTAATTTAAATATCTGAAAAAGATTTATATGCTGAGTGGTCTACAATATTTTGACCAATAACTTTTGACCTATTAAATATTTAGTGTTCCTTTTATATATATAAATCATAGACTATGTTAAACCATAATTTTTCTTATATGTTTTCAATAGAAAATACATTATTTTTTTATTTAAATTTATTATAAAAGATATTTCTAGCCTTTTTCTTATAAAAATTGTTATTGGCCATTTCATATATATAAAAAATATCTAAAAAACAACTATATAAAAAAAAAAAAAAATAATAAAATAAATGTTTATTAGTAAAACATAAAATAAAAAATATGATTTTAATGTATTTTAAAAATGCATTGATTATTTAAAAAAAAAATAACGCAAAATATTTAGTAGATCAAGAATTATTAGATTTATTAAAAAATCCTTGTAAATATGATATGATATGATAAGTTATGCTATATAACATCATAGTTGTTAATATATAACTAGAGAATTTTTACATTATACATACTATTAACCATAATAAACTTTTTAAAGTTAAATTTGGTATGTTTAACCTTACCAAATTAACTTTTTAATAATTGAAAATTTAGTTTTTAGATTATTAAATAAGTTATGGTATTGGATTAAATAAAATAAAATAAAAAAATTTTAGCTTTGATGCGAAGCTGAGAAGGTATTAATTTTAACATGTGTTTATTTTCTCAGCTATCACTACACCGATTTTTCTCAACAATACGTCAAAAGATCACAAATTGTATCTAATTGAATACATTACTCTCAAAAATTGAAAATTTTGCCCATGTTCACTGCAAATAGTGAAAATCGACCAAAATATTACAATTTTTAAAATTGGTAAATTTCGACCTTTTTTTAACTTTTTTTTTTTTTAAATTGCCATAACTTATTGAAAAATGAACGAATCAAAATAATTCTTATTTATATTGAAACCATAGATATTTCTCTTTCATTTGATACACATTTTTTGAAAATATGACCCTTTATCTGACAATAGGGAGGGATTCAAAATAGCAACTTCTGCACAAAAATTTTAATTTTTCAATTTAAGGTTTGAAAATGTTCCAGAAATACTCTGAGCTTCAAAAATATGCTAAAATAAAGCTAATGTTATGTTCTATATGTTAAAAAAAAAAAAAATTTGTTCCGATGATTTATCTTTTATGTGCAAATGGTTACCATAGTTAAAAACAATGCCATGTTGGTGTTAAAATTACGATTTTAGATTTTTTTTTTAAATTAAACACTATCAACAGATTTGCATCAAAGCTTTTTTTATGACAGTGATTTTAAGCACTGTCGGATTAAATCTATATTGGACCCATCTGTGCCGTGATCCCACTGTGCTGAGTTGGGTTTTTTTTACTGAACTTGTACTGTGACACAAATAATTAAACCCAATTTAATTTTTAATGATTATTATAGATAAAGATTTAAATGATTACCTCAGGGTAATTTTGTCCAAATGATTCTGTAAATAAAAAATTTAATATTACTAAAATTATTTAAATTCTTAAGAATTTTTATTAAACGATAAATGTCATTAACTAATGTTATATTTCAAATAGAATAACATGACTTACCAAGTAATTCTAAGTTCATATTGTTTGTATGGTAATTATTACCGGCTTGTATTAAAAATTCTTAGCACATTTTCTAAAACATGGCAATTTAAGTTAATTTAATTATAATTTAACTTTAATACAATGATACATAACATATGTATACCTATTTTTAATAAATTATACAAAACAAAAGAAATCCAATTTACTAAATAGATTAATTAAACATCTTAACTTAAAAATGTATAACTACAAAAGAAAAATTCTGCATTAATTTTTCAATAACATGGCATTTCAATAATCAATCAACAATATTAACGAAAATAAAGTCAAAAAAATTATTAAACTACACAAATTGTTAGTTTTTCTAGTTTTCACTTCAAGTTTTTTTAAACATTATATAAATGATAACTAACTTATCAATAACGTTTTAAGTAGTTATAAGCAGACAATATTCATATTGATAAATATACCGAAAAGAAGCGTTCAACCACAAATACGAAAGTGTACTCTTCCGAATATGAAGTTATCCTTCTAACGTTACAATTATTGGAATATATTGACAATAGTAAAAATGGTAATAATCTATTGTTGCTTTTTGCGCAGATTAAATGAAAGTAGATGATATACTTCTTTGGTATAAATTTGGTTGTTAAATATTAATGTTATCACTAACTTAAGATTTCAGCAGCACAAATTTGTAAATTTATAAAACATAAGTACAATATATGTGTATATTTATATACATTATATATGAATTTCAACTATTTGTTATTACCTTGAAGCTTTAACAACAATACAAAATAAAAGTTGAGAAATGCATTGTTAACCCGTATAATATCCGTTTTCCTGTGATTAATAAATTACCGTTTTGCCAGTTACAAAACGATCTAATCAATGTCAAATCTGTGAATCATCATGTAAGTGTTTTTATTAAATTAATTCTTAATTTTAAATAAAATTTAGTTATATGAACAAATATATTTTTTAAGGGAATAATATTCTAAAAACTTCAAAGTATAAGTATCTTTTGATTATTTTTTATGTATTAAAATTAAAAATTTATTTGTTTAATGCCTGTCATTAAATATTTTATTAAATGATGATTAGATATTCATTTTCATGACATTTGTAATTAGTTTCTTAAATAAAAATTATTATTATGTCCATTAGTTTAAGATATTTTTCTTTAATTCTATAATACTATAAAAAAAAACAAGCAACAAAGCCAGAAATACTTGTGTAATAAATTATTTTTTATTTTTTATGTTTATATAAATTTATAATTTAATTGATACTTATCAACTTAAAATAGTAATCAACGTGGAGGAAAGCAATGTACATTTGGTCAAGGTGGAGCAAACAGGCTCTTGCCACGAAGACCAAATTGATTCTACATTGTTCAACTGTAACAAGGAGGATCTTGAAAACGGAAATATTACAACTGTTCCTTTCATGGAGGAAATATCTTCTTCATTACCAAAAAATGCTATTCTCATCCCATTATGTGGAACAACTCCCCCTCAAAATTCAGACGAACCTTTTGGTAATAATGCATGTAAGTATAATTGTATTTTATGATTTAATATATTTTTTGTTATTTTTTTAGTAAAATTTATAAAAAAAATATTTCTTGTTAACTATACTATGGTTTTATTTAAAAAAATGTAATAAATATTTTTAATATGTAGACAAAACACTTAAACGAGGTATATCACGAGCAACTGATAATGTAAATATTGTATCTCAAGCAAGATCAGAATTAGTACTTTTAGATAGTGCTGAAGATGAATTACCTACTATTGAAACTCCTGTCTATACATTTATTTTACCTGATTTAACATCACTTGATGGTAAGTACTTTTAACCAAATTGTATTATGTTACAATATTTTTAGTTACATAATTTTTAGTATTTGTATTAAAAAAATATATATATATATATATGTATAAATATTTGTAATTGTAGACAAATTTCGACTTTTTATTGAAAAAGATTTAATAGCAGTAGCAATGCAAAACTCTTTAGAGCAAGCTACAAGATTAAATTGGTGGTCTGGTTTTTGCCAAAGATTATGGCCTCTCTCTACTTCTGGTGATGGTAATTGTCTTCTTCATGCTGCTTCTCTGGGTGAGTTAAATTAATAAATTATGCTTTGAATCATTTTTGTAAAATAATCTATAAAAAATATAAATTGGGTATTCAGTAAGTAAGAAAACAGGTCAATTATACAAATTGTTATAAATAAGAACAATGGAAATCTGATTCCTTATTTAATGAAAATTCTATACGTAAATTTCAGTTAATAATCTGTAAAAATGGTTAAACTTACATAATATTTTAGATATTATTTATTTATTTATTTTTGTAATTATACTAGGTATGTGGGGCTTTCATGATCGTTTATTATGTTTAAGAAGAGCATTGCATGCCTTTTTAAGTTTTGGTCAAGCTCGTGAAGCTCTTTGGCGACGTTGGCGAAGACAACAAACTATTCTGAATTCTCAATTTGGTCTTGTTTACACTGAACAAGAATGGCGAAGAGAATGGAATGCAATTGTTAGTATGGCTTCTACAGTTCCTAGAATGAGGAGACATAGTATATCAAGGTACATAATTGTAACAATATGTATGTATTAACAAATCATTGATTTTTGGGTTGAATAAAATAAATTAAAATTTTTTGAAATTAAGTTAGTTATATGAATAGTAAAATTCTAACATTGTTTTATTATTTAAAATGTATAAAACATTTTACCATCTTCTTTAAATTTTTTATTGATGGTATTTAATGCATTTATTTTAAAATCTATGATATCCTTTATATACATCTCATATTATTTTTTTAAATAAATGATTTTCAATAAAAAATAAAACTTTAAATTTTGATAAAATATTTAAACAATGTTCTTTTTAGTTCTGCCACTAGTGAAACTGAAGGTGACATTTATGAGAGTCTTGAAGAAATTCATGTTTTAGCTTTGGCCCATGTGTTAAAGAGACCTATTATTGTTATTGCTGATACAATTCTGAAGGTAAATCTCTTTTTAATAATTTTTTAATTTGCATAAAATTAATTTAATAACAAATTATTTAATTAATATGAATATATATTATATATTATAAAAATATATTATATTCAGCAATATTAGGGTGAAATAAAGAAAGTGTAAATGAATTCTTTTAGATAAATGCACAAGTTTTTATTTTGAATTTTCATTTAATATAATAGCAACAAATAAGACCAGAACTAATCAATCTAAAATAAATCTGCTAAATATTAAAAAAAAAAATGAATTTACAATTACCCCATTCATTTGAATATAAATAACTCTACATTTTTATATTTTATATTTTAGGATATGAATGGGGAAGCATTAGCTCCCATACAATTTGGAGGAGTGTACTTACCATTCGAATATTATGCTAGTGACTGTCATCGTTCTCCATTATTGTTAGCTTATGATGGTGGACATTTTTCTGCTTTAGTGGCAATGGAAACTCCTAATTCTGTACTTTCTTGTAAGCTTTATTAATTTACATTTTACTTGGAGTAAGATAAATTTTATGAATTAATAATAAATTTGATTTTTATAGCTGCCATACCTATAGTAGATTCAAATGGTGAACTACTGCCATTACAATTTCCTATAGATCCTGGAAATAATGAACAAAATACAATTCCTGACAAAAATCATGACTTGTCTTTAACAGATTCACTATCAATAATTAGTGAATATTTGGATATTGTGAAACTTGACCCTCAGGTATTTAATTTTTAATTGAATTATATAAAAATTAAGGGTTTTATTGTATTTGAAACCCCTTTAAGTGGCCCTTACACAATCAATAATACTGAATCAATTAAATTGTGTCAATATTTTGTGCAATATTTATTTGCTCTAAACCTCTCAATATTATTGTCCAATATTCAAATGAAAAATATTTGTTATCTATGTAACATATCATCATAAGCGTATATTTAATGCGTATTTACAAAGGCGTAGTGGCATTTACCATCAATCTATGTGATATTATAAATTACCACTGTTTTAAAAATGTATCTAACCGATAACCCATAACCACTATTGCGTACTTTTGTACAATGTCACATGCTAACGCTACAATATTATTGTGTATTGTGCAATAAATTTTCAACCCTTTTTGATTTCTTCAGTATATTGTACAATCCTTCAATATCTATACTAAACTTTCAATAATATTGCGCAATATCAATTATTGTTCAATATTATTGATTGTGTATATATATATATATACATTTTACGTTTTTAAATTACAAATTATTTTTTTGGGAATTCATAAATTATAATATGCAAATAGAAATAATTTTAACTCTAAATATAAAATTATGAAATTTTTAAAATAGATTTTGATTAATCCAAAATTTTTAAGACTTTGGGAAATTTAAATTAATGTATTTTACATATGAAATAATTAATGGTTCATAGTTATTAAAATTCATTAGTGTAGCATAATTACTTATTAAATAAATTATAATTAAATAAAAAAACTTTATTTATTTCTATCTACTTAATTGTGCTCTGTAATCAAATGTTAGTCTTTATTTTTATTATGTAATTAACATAAAATTTTTCTTTTAGGGTAATAATGAATCGTCAGGAAAAAATGGTTTATTTGGGAGTTTGGGTCGCTCTGTAGGTAACAAATTTAAATCAAAGTTATCTCGAACAAATTCTGTAAAAAATTTGTCTGTAGCTTTACAGTCAAAGTACACTCTTTGTGCTTTGATCAATACTGATAAAAAACATGAGTATCATGATGTCATGATAAAAAATTATTTACAAACTGCAGCAGAACGTTTTCGTCATTCATCTTATGTAAGTTAATATAAAAATATTATACTTTACAAATTTTCTGTTTTTAAAAAGATCATTTTATCAAATTATGAAAAATTTTAAGTTTGATATGTACACATATATATATATAATTTTTATTATTTATTAATTCATGTAAACATTAAAAAATAACGTTATAATTCAATTGTATTACATTTTTAAAATATTAAATACAATTTATTTCATGTGCTAACTTATAGTATTTTTAAAATGAATAGAGCAAACATTTTAAAGTTTTAATGGAAACAATATGATAGAGCCATTTGCTAAAAAAAACTTTGTCTAATATTAACATTCATAAATCTTAAATTTTTAAATTTTTATGTTTTAATTTTCCAGACTTTTTTATCAGATCTCAATTGAAAGGTAATCTTTCTTATTCTCATTCTCACTCAACATTTCTCTAAATATTGACATTAGTGTTAATTTAAATTTGAACACTAAATTTATTTTATTTGAAAAATTACCCAATGAGCCTATTTGTTTATGAATTTGAAATATTTACTAAATTAAAATTTTTTGATATTGTATAACTTTAGTCCTAAATAGCACACTAAATCAAAATAATATACGAATATTTGTGATAATATAGATAGTAATATATAATGAAAATTGATCACTTGTGGCTAATAATATTTAAAATCAAAACTATATTAAAAATGTAGTTTTAATTTTATATATAGATAGTAATATTGTATTCCAACTTATTGAAAAAAGTAGACAATTGATTTTCTTTTTTAATAATATAAAATGATTAAACATTTTTTTTGTTACCTAATAGGTAGATCAAACACCTAGGTATGGAGCTGGTAAATCTCGTTTTTATGCTGAAGCTGATTCTGAATCACATGAAAAGGTCGGTCAAATGACCCCTGTTAAAGCTGTAACTAATATAGACTCTACTATGTATTTATCTAAATCTACATTTTATGATACTGTCCCTCAAAATGAACCTTGTCGTACTGATGAATGTCCTTTTTTTGGGTCATCAGCTACCAAGTTTTTATGTTCAAAATGTTACAAGCAACAACAAAATGATAACCATTAATAATAATAGTTATAATTACTTATATTATATTTTTGACAACTATCATCACACTTTAACACCTATTTTTTAAAAATAAGCTCTTTTTCATGTGATATTTATTATATCTCTTATTAATTATGTATAATTACAATCTTTTTATGATAAATCTAATTAGAAAAACTAACTAATTAACAAATCACTTATTTGTTTGCATAATTAAAAATAAATAAGCTTAATTTATTTTTCAATAACTTAAGATCAGTCTATTGGCTAATGTATAATATATTGGCCAAAAATTATTTTTAAATTTTTCTGTATAAGAATATGCTAGTAAGGCTTTAATTCTTTTTTTGTAAATTATTGTCAAGTAAAAAAAAAAAAACATTAGTCAAATGATTATTATCTCACTTAATAGTTATAACTAATTTATTTTTAAAATGATAAGTAAAATATTATTACATACATTTTTAAAAGGCTCTTTAAATAATTATTTTAAATGGAAATAAGATTTTATATTTACACATTGTTTATAAAAATAAAATTATTTTGTCTGCCTCATCACTAAATTATTATGATATTTATGAATAATTTTAATGAAAACGATTATTATTATTTTAACTAAATGACTTATTGAAATTAAATGTTACTATAACCTCCAAACGGGTTTATTTTTAAAGTATTACTTGACTATTGTATTAATTATTGCATTATAAATATTTTTAGCCTCCTATTTTTTAAATTATTATCATGTAATGAAATGTGTCGTGTGTTAATTATTAATAGCTAACTATTAAGCACTTGCATGATTTATCATATTTATACAATGTATCTAATTTTGCTTACTTTAGTATGTAATACTAATTTGAACAAGTTAAAATGTTAACTATTATTATAAAACTTAAATCTACATTTTATACTTTTTAATTGTAGAATAACTTACCATTGAATGTTATTAGCCATAAATTAGTCAAAAAAAATTTAAATATTTATTGCTAACTATGTCATACATGTATTTATTTATTTTTAATGATAGAATTAAGGTGCAAAATTTGTAATTGCACATCTTACCAATCAAATAATTATTGTTTAAAGAACTAACTCACTTATATTATATGACATCTTTAATATTATTAAGAAAAACTAATTTAACATTATCTAAGATTTTTTTGTCAACACATTAATTTAATTTTGTTCGAGTTGATTTTATTCAGAGTTTATGTTGTTATTAAATATTTTTTCAACACATATTTTGAAAATGTTGTTTTATTGAAATTGTTTTTTTTTTGTTTACAAATACTACTAGTTAATATTGATAACACAGTTATTAATTAGTCATTAAACTAAATTACACAATAAAGTTGTCATAAAAAAAAATTTAACTTGATTTCATGATGTTTAATATCAGTTGTGCACAATTTGGAACTATCCCATTAAGTTTTATTTTGAAGTTTAGTTGAGGTATTGCAAGGAAATTTCATCAAAGAACAGAATATATTTTTCTAAACCCATTTTTGCACCAATTCAAAACGGCAATTAGATTTTTTCTATCACCTCTACTTTTTGATATTACTACTAATTAGTAAAAAACAAGTATTTACACACACACACACATATATATATATATATAAAATTATTAAAAACAAAAAAAATTGTTTTTTAATTATTATTAATTTTGATTTTTAATAGATTAAAATGATCTGTGCAAAATGTCATTTTTACCTTTTTCTTTTGGTAAAAATGCTGACTTTTATGAAAGTTTATAACAAAAAGATTAAACTTTTTATCATAACTTTTTTTTAGCTCAACTTGCAAGTTTGAAATGGACATTGAAAAACAATTTTATGAAAATTAAAAAAAATGTATTGCTAAGATTAATATGCAGTTAAAAAATGTTTTAATTACTGTTAATAGTAAATTTATGAGAAAAGCTCAATATTTCGTTAAAATTGCTATTTTTTTTTGTATTTTTATCGTAATAAATTATTTAAATAAAAATCATACTAATTATTTCTATGTGACTCTAGTGTTTAAGTAAATCTACAATTGAAATATTCCTAAATTGATTAATTTTAATGATTTACTTCAACAAAAAAACAAATCAAAGAAATTAAAAAAAAATCTACCCAATCTAGTGTTTTATAAAATTTGATTATAATTGTAGAATACATCGTTAAATTCAAGTGAAACCTAAAACCATATTTTTGAAATCATTTGAATAGTAACATCTAACAAAAAAAAACCCATCACAGTGTGGTGGGGTCGTGGTATAGTTGGTTCTAGTATAGATGATATTTGACAGTGATTAAAATCACTATTATAAAAAACGCTTCGATTCAAATTTGTAGATAGTGTTTAATTTAAAAAAAAAATTGTCAAAAAAGTAGGTCAAGTGAGAGCTGAGAAAATAAATGATAGCTACAAAAAAAAAACCACATTGTAAAATAATATTAATATGAATTTCTTCTCACGAGAGGAGACTACAGTAATATTTATTGAAGTTATTGAGTCTAAATGAGATAAAAATCAAATGAGTTAAACATGTTTTTCTAACTCAAAAAGAATTAAGAAAAAATTCAGTCCCACAGTGTTAAAATGTCAGAAATTGTATCTTGCATTCGTCACTTAATAAAAATGGAAATTTAGCTACTTCAAATTTTAAAGTTATTTTTCTCGACTTCAAAGAAACAAAATAATTTAAATATGTTTAAATTTTTATACTATGTCAATTAGATTGATATAATATTTATGAGAATCAGTGTAATCCCCTTATAATAAAATAAAATACAAAACCAAGAATTTTAACACAAAAATAGCATATTTTTGAATACGATATCTATTTTCCCCATGAAGACAAAATAAAGTCCAAAATTTTTTTTTTTAATATTAAAGTATATTACATTAGATTTAATTTATGATATATATAAAAATGTCAGTATTACCGGAACACTTTCAAAAATTAAGTTGAAAAAATTAATTTTTAGTGAAAAAGTTGTCATTTTAAATCCCCCCCTGTGGGCTGGTTAAGGGTTAAATTTATAAAAAAAATATACCAAATGATAGGTAAAGACATCAAGCATCTATAAAAAAAAATTATATTGATATGTTCATTTTTAAAAAAGTTATGGCAGTTTTAAGTAAAAAAAATTGAAAAAATTTGGAAAATTAGCGATTTTTAAATTTGTAATTTTTTTGGAGGTTTCTCCCATTTACGGGGAACGAGGGAAATTTTTTCAATTTTTGAGGGTAATGTCTTCGACTAGATACGATTTGTGATCTTTTGATGTATCATTGAAAGAAATCGGTTCGGTGAGAGATGAGAAAAAGTGGTAACAGACACAGAAAAAAATTACTACCTTCTCAGCTTCACATCGAAGCTAAAATTTGGAATATTATAAACTGATAGTTGCACACACAAATAGTGTTAAAAAAATTAAAAAATAACAAAGTAAAATTATTTAATTTTGTTGTTGAATCCTATTATGAAATTAAACCTAATTTGGGGAAAAAAAATACTTTAAAATCATTAGAAATGAATGATTTTAATTGTTTATACGAATATTGTGAGCTGAGTAACTTTTAATTGATAAAGAGAAAAATTTTTCAATTTTTGAGGGTAATATCTTCAATAAGATACGAATTGTAATCATTTGATGTATTGTTGAAATAATTAAATGACAGACAAGAAAAAACACACAGAAAAATAATAAGAATAAGAAATGTCTTCTCAAGAAAGGAAACTACAGTAATGGCATTCTTGATATTCATTAAAGTTAATCAATCTAATTACTGTAAAAATCAAACAAGTTTTAAATTTTTATCCAACACAAAATAAATTAAGAAAAAATGAATAATTCATGATAGATGGAGTCGAACTTTGTACCTCGCCAAGTGTGTAAGACATAAGTGTCATCTGCAAGCGTACATCGCATTTGTTGGTTAATAAAAAGTACAATCTAAGCTAGTTCAAATTTATTGACTTATACGAAACAAAAAAATTTTAAAAATTTAACATTATATTTAATATGTCAATAAAATTCATATAATTTTTATAAAAATCAATGCAATACCCTTATTAAGACATTTTAAAATAAAAAAATTGACAAGTTGTACATTTTTTAAAAAGAAATAATAGTGTAGAATTGAAATGAATTGTACAATTTTTTTAATTTTCCAATTCTTACACAAAAAAAGTTGTACTTTTTCAAATAAAAGTTTATTACATAAGCTTTGACTTAAGTATATATAAAAGTGTCAGTATTTCTAGAAAATGTTTAAAAGTTAATTTTTTGTAGAAAAGTTATTTTAAAACTCCTCTGTAGAGCAAGTAAAGTGTCAGATTTTTACTATACCAAATAATAAGTAAACATCTAGTGTATCTATAGAAATAAAATTATTACGATTTGTGCATTTTTAAAAAAGTTATGGTAGTTTTAAGAAAACAGTTAATTACCGATTTTTTAAATTGTAATTTTTAGTGGGATTTTTCTCATTTATGTGAAATAAGAGAATTTTTTTTTAATTTTATGGTGTAATGTCTTCTACTAGATACAATTTGTGATCTTTTGACATATCGTTAAATCGATTCGATGGGAGTTGAGAAAAAGTGGTAATAGACATACAAAAAAACACATCACAGTAAAACTAATACTTATTCAGCTTCGCATTAAAACTAAAATTAGTAATAAGTTGCTGGACGTTTTTTGAATGAAATATTCTCTATATGTCTTTAAGTAAGGGAAGTGTTTTTACATTCGAATTGTTTGTAACAATCGATCTGTTACTTGAACAATACGTTTAAGGCGTATTCATTTTTCCATTTTTAGCTTTGATGCGAAGCAGAGAAGGTATTAATTTTACCATGATGTGTTTTTTTCTTTTTTTTGTGTCTGTTGCCACTTTTATTCAGCTTTCACTGGACCAATTTTGATGAACAATATGTCAAAAGATCATAAATTGTATCTAGTTGAAGACATTACCCTTTAAAGTTGAAAAAATTTCCCTCGTACCCCGTAAATAGGGAATATCTCCATAAATACAAAAAAATACAATTTTTAAAATCGTTAATTTTGTCATTTTTTTCTTAAAATTAGCATAACTTTTTCAAAAATAAACAAATCAACTTCATTTTTTTTTATGATGAAACCTTAGATATTTGAGAATTAATAGAGATATTAGATATTCGAGAAATTAGTGGATAATTACAAAATGAACTCCAATTTATTCTTATTTATAACATGATTAGTAATTCTTAGATTCAAAAATATAATATAAAATTATATGATAATAAATTTTTTAATTATATGTTATATCATTTTAATAATTAATTATTTTCAAATTATTATTGATTTTGATTTTTAATTTGTTAAAAAAGTGAAAGTTTATAATAAAAAAAAAAGAATTTATTACCATAACTTTTAGCTCAACTTATAAGTTTCAAATTGACATAATTAAAAAGAAAAAAAGTGGTATTGTTAAGATTAATATAAACTCAAGAAATTTTATAATTACTAATTACAGTAAATTTATTAGTAAAGTTTGATTTTTTTTGCATTTTTATCGTAATAGATCACTTATATAATAATCATAAGTAATAATCCTTTATAATTAACTTTTGGTGGTTAAAAGATTCTAAAATTGAAATAAGCAGAACTGAATTAATTTTAATGATTTACTTTAACTAAAAAAACCAACGAAAAAAAAGTTGTTAAAATAATCTACTCAATTGAGCGAATTATAAATTTTGATTATATTTGTAAAAATCGATTGTTAAATTCAAGTGAAACTAAAAATTATTTTTTTTTAGATTTGTGATTTATATAGCAACATGTTACCAAAAAAATTGGAATATTATAGACTATTAGTAACACATACAAATAGAGTTAAAAAATTAATAAATTACAAAGTAAAATTATTTAATTTTGTAGTTGAATACTTTTATTATATTAAATCTAATTCGACAATAAATACTTTATAAATATTAAAAATGATTTTACTTGTTGTATGGATAAAACTGCTTAAGGTACTTTTTATTTGATTAAGGAATTTTTTTTCAATTTTTGAGGGTAATATTTTCTATTAAATACGAATTACAATTATTTGACATATTGTTGAAAAAAGTAGGCTAATTGATGGTTGGAAAAATAAATTATAGCCACAAAAAAAAAAAAAATTGTAAAATAACATTAACATGAATAAGAAATTTCCTCTCATGAGGGGAGACTATAGTGATGGGATCCTTGATATTTATTTTAGTTAATTAATCTAAATGAGATAAAAATCAAATAATTATTTGTTCGACTTAGAAAAGCAAACAAATTTAAATAAGTTTAACTCCTTATATCTTATGAACTTTACCTAAATAATAATATAAGCTTTAATTTAAAATTAAATAAAAGTGTCAATATTTCCAGAATATTTTCAAAAATTACATTAAAAAAGCTTAGCTTGTGTGGAAAAATTGTTTTTTTGAATTCCCTCTGTGGGCAGGTTTAAAGTAAGATTTTCAAAAAAATTATATCAAATAAAAGAAAAATATCTAAGGTTTCAATTTAAAAAAATAATTTTAATTTGTTCATTTTTCAAAAAATTATGGCAGTTTTAAGTATTAAAATATTTCATGTTAAACAGTGATTTTTATATAAAAATAAGTTTCGTTAAATTCGACGACCATTTTCTTATAGAATAATGGATAGGATAAACTTAACACCAAATTACATATATATATATATGCTTTTTTTAGAGAAAAAAAATTAACAATTTTATCTGTATAACTATATATATATATATATATATATAACTATATTTTTTTTATTTTTAATATTTAAAGAGATAATTTCCAATTAGAAGCAATTATCACATTTATCTGGTGTTTTTAATTTTTACAAAAAAATATTGATTATATTTATTCTATACTTTGAGGTTTGAGCGTGACTAATTAATTAAGTATAATTTTATATATTGTTATTTTTTATGATTGTTTGAATAAAAACTATTTTTAAAGAAAACATTAAATAACAAGCATTTTAAGTTGACATTTTCGAGGTATTTAAATATATATATATTTTTTTATTTAGTCTCAAAAAATACCTGGTAAATTAATTGTAATTATTAATAAAAAATACTATTTAAAACTCTTAATTATTATTGTAATTATAAGGAAGTAACGTATATTTTGGCTATTTATAACTGCCCCATGAACACATCCTGATTACGCTATAGAAATTTATCCTAATGCAGTTTGATTTATGCTTTTTAAAGTTTTAAAAATTTGATAAACGCATTAGTTGTGAACGTCAGAACATCATAAGTTTTCTTAAGATTTGGCAGTTATAATTTTATATAAATATAATAAAAATGATCGTTGTACTAAAAATGAACTAAATGAACTACTTGCAGCTAATGATATTTAAAATTAAAATTTTATTGAAAATATTAATTTAAAACTGAAAAATATTAATAATATTGTTTATTTATTTAACACATACTCCTATGTGTCTAGCGTTGATAATGGTAACATTATTCCCGAACATATCCACGATTGTTTAGTGTTTTTTACTTTTTTAATTTTATTTTAGTAATATATTTTTTTGTGGTCTTTTGAGTTAAATATTTTTTTTAATTTAAAATCAATATTTTTAATGTACTTTATTTTATATAAAAATTAGAATTTTAGTACCTTTAGAAACTCTTAAACTCATGTAGTCATGAGGATCATTGAAATTATCAAACATCATTTTTATTTGCACCATGTTATAAAATAATGTTAGTGCCGACAAGCGTCTAGACTTTTTCACTGGCATACAACATCAGTGTTGATGGTCACTTGAAAGTCACTAGGGAGACACTGGACACTTTCTTGACAAACTTTACCATATGATCACATATATTATTCCTAATTGCATAAAATCTTGATAATAGATTTTGATATCTATAACAATATACTAATACCGGTGTAAAATATTAATTTTGCAAACTCATTGCGCGATACCTAATGAATTTCTGGTATAACATTTTATTTTGCACATTTTTAATAAACTTGATTTGAATTTTTATCAAAATATATTCTACCTAAAAGCATGTCCAGAAAATATGATAGAGGTGACTCCCATTACCACAGTATTTATATGTTGACAGTAAAATCTCGATCGAGTAGCAAACATTTTTCTTAATTTTAAAAATCTGAGCACATGAAATATATTACTTTTAAATATTTGTATATGATATCAGGCCAAATTATTCAAGTGCCGTAAGCAATACTCATTTTGTTGTTTAGTTTAGTTTATTATTGTGTTATTTTGATAAAGACATTTTAAGCTTCATAGCTGTGACCCATCATAAGTAAAATGATATAAGATTAATGTTTTTAAATAATATCAAAAAGTTAATACAAAATGTTAGTTTACAAGCAGTGTTTAATTTTCAAAGTCAACTTTATTATACTTTTTTTAACATCCACTTATTATAACAACATTTTCTTAAATATTTTAACATCTCAATGAAAATACATAATTTATTTAATACACATAAAATATTTATATTTTCTTTTATTCGGTAAATCTATTTCATATTATTTTATTTTTTTACTAAACACATTTAATTTATTCAAATCTATTAAATAAAACATTTTAATTACATTGTGAACATTGAGTCTAAGTCCGGTCAAGTTTTGCACAATTTTTTCTCTAATTTCTACTCTCAACAAATACCTATACACATATTACTATGTAATTACAATAAACTGCAATGTTGTGATCTCATCCGGCCGTTGTTCAACATAAGACCTTTCTGTGTTGTAGCTTATTCTCCATTTCTCTTCATACATGCAGTTGAACGAGCAAGCTGTCATATCAATAACAGAATAATTATAGTCATTTTGGCAAGCCTAACACAACGACCGGGCTTGTCGAAGGGTCTGGTCTCCCAAGGGTTAGATTAAACTCCGCCCTTAGGTGGAGCCTATAATGATTTTCTCCAGGGGTTGGTTTTTCCAATGAGCATCGGCGGCTGCCCGATTATCGATTTTCCAACTTTGGGCTGGAAAATGCCAATATGGTGGCATTTGACTGTCTCTAACCCTCTAGGAGTGACTGTAATATGTACATTTTACAGTTGCCCGTGGGCGGGAAATTTCAACTACCATTTCGTGGTTTTCCTCTGTTCATCATTACTTTGCGTGTGACCTGAGCAATGATAATTCAAGTTTAACATTTTAAGTTTGACATCCAACAACGTTATACTCATCGTCGTGAAAGTTCTGAAGGTTATATTGGCATTCAGGATTGAACTTATTTCCAGGCGTGTGAGTATTGTTTAACTTCATTTAAAACGTTATTTATTTGTATCTAACTCAACTATTTTTACTAATAGCTCAAGGATATTTTATTAAAAAAATTTAACTAAATCTTATACCAAAAGACATTAATTATTATTGGTTAAGTGCACTCTATTAAAATACCGTTAATTATTACTGCGGTTATCAATTCAATTTAATTTACATTTATTAAAAATGTAAACGATATGTACTCGTATTCCATATTATTTGAAATCCAAGCGTACATGCAACTTAAGAGCTTAATATAATAACAATAATAATTTCATAATAATAAAATTAAAAATAATAACTTTAGACTTCGCACAAAAAATAATTTCCTAAATTAAACTATATAGAATTTTAATAAATAAATAATTAATGTAGGAAGCGTATTATGTTATGTTATTTAAAGCCCTTCGGCCGACTTCAAGCTAGTTTTGAAAATAAGCCTATTAAAATTACTCCAGTTTTAAAAAACTTACATTACACTTTTATTCCAGTACCATATAATAAGAAACTTCTTCGTTAATACATCTAGTTAGTTACAAAGATTGAAACACAACCATTTATGGTTACATATTAGGAATATGATTAATCCTTATGTAATTTTATATAGACATGAATGATCTTACAACTGCCCATTAAAAAACTAATATAGGAGAGAACAGTGCAATTTGACTATTGAACAAAGTGATCTCTTTGGATTAAAAAAAAATATAATAATGTTTGCAAACTTTTTTTTTAAATATTTAAAAATATATTAACCGAACAGTAACAAAACTTTCGAAAATAATTTTAATTACACATATGTGTTCCTAAATTTTCTGCAAGAACAATATCATAAAATTTCACATTAAATATTTCAAATTTCAATTACTAACTATACCTGAATAGTTGATATCATATAGCATTAGTCATTCAAATTTTAAATCAATATAAATTATTCAAAATTACTAAAAATATATTGCTTTGAACTTCTGTATATACAGATATTAAAGATAAAACACTAATTTTTTTAGAAACTATTACAGATTTTGAATTTTTGTAAAGGAAAAAATTATTTGATTAAATAATTGTAGTAAACATGTATATAATTTTTTTTCGTCCCTTTAGAGGTAAAAAACTTAATTATAAATATTCATTAACGTAAACCCCTATTAGTTTGGTGATGTGATAAAAAAAATTATAAAGACAACATTTTTTTAATAATTTTGTTTTTATAATTTATAGACAATTCTACTGTTTTTAGCTTCGATGCGAAGCTGAGAAGGTATTGGTTTTACTAAGATGTGTTTTTTTTTCTTTTTTCTTTTTTTTTGTGTCTGTTACACATTTATCACAGGGGGGGATTTAAAATGACAACTTTTTTACTAAAAATTAATTTTTTCAACTTAACTTTTGAAAGTGTTCCGGAAAGTCTGACACTTTTATATATATCTTAAATTAAAGCTAATGTAATGTACATTATTATGGAAAAAAAAAATTTTGGACTTTATTTTGTCTTAATAGTGAAAATGACTACCAAATGCTATTTTTGTGTTAAAATACTCGATTTTATTTTTTACATTTTATATGAATACAATTTTTATGAGAAATAATATTTATATCCCTCTTTTATTCGACATACTTTATATTTATCAGGATATAAATAATGAAATAATAGATCACGTAGCTTTTGGAATAATCAACCAATTTTTTAAAACTATACACTATCTAAAGATTTGCATCGAAACGTTTTTTATGATAGTGATTTTAATCACTGTCAGATATTATTATACTTGACCCGTAACTATGATATTAACTATCAATTATTAACGCAAATTCTTATTAATATGAGAGTTTATTCTTATATGTAACGCAGGTTTACTATTGTATATTGTTAAACGACCGTCGTAGAAAAATTTTCTTGATTTATACTATAAAATAATTTTTGGCATATTATAACAGATTATTGTTGCCTTTGATATTAGGAAAACCAAATTAATAATGAAATTGTATTATAAATACAAATCTTTAAACAATTTTAAAACGCAAACAGTTGATCGGGTAGAAAAAATATAGAGACATTATTTGAAATTTCTTTTTATTATACCATCGAATTTAAAGTAGGGCATTCCGTTAAATAAAATTGAAGTCTTTATCCCTAAATGGATGAAAAAAATACTTAACTATATATTATTGTAGAATTTTTCGAATCAAACGATAATTTTCTTAAAAAAGATTTTAAATTTTCAATAGTTTTTAAAAAACTAAGTATCTTATTTATAATAAATCACTTTGTATTACTCGTATTAGTATAAAATTAGTATTCAATGAAATACTCTATTATTATTTTTCGTTTTAAATTAATAGTTAATAACAGTGTAGAATATAAAAATAATACATGTTTTATAATCCATTACTTTAATACATAACATTTTCAAAATGCTTACACAAGTTTTTATATGATTACAAATTAAGAGTACTGTTGTAATTTTTTTTGTAGGTTATGGTTGACATTTTGATAATTATAAAACGAAAATGACAATCTGTACACTAATATATAGAAATGAAAAATAGTGTCTCCTTAATCGTTTTTTTTTTTTGTCATAATAAATAAAATGGTTCGTGTTAAGGGCCAACAAAATGCCGTTGAAGAGGCTGACGCCGCTTGTTCGGCGGCACGTGTTTAAGATTCAACAAAAATAGGTGCTCTATGGAACATCACGATTAAACACGTTATCATTATAATATCCCTGTCCACAGATGTTATTGTTTATAGATCCAGTGAAATATTAAGCGATAAACCCCGTGATCGTTGGATATTGTAAACCGCCAACTTTAAAAAATAATATCAAACTAACGCTGTTGAATCCCGAGTACTATGCTTAAAAAAAAAAAAAGAGTGTATACTAAGATCAAATAACCTATTGTACTAATATTAATACTTTAGTGACAACATGAATAAATACTATCATAGAATCTTCACTAAATATAATAAATAATTATTTATTTAGGAGTTTGGAGCCTTAGCTTTAATCTTCCTTGTTTTAGCTACCCTCGAACACCGTTAAAATATGTGACAGGTAATTTTTTAAACAATGTTGATGATTTTTATGTTAAATGAAATTTTTAACAAATCAACAATATTATAAAATTAACATGCAATAATTGTTATAATCTTCCCTGAGAGCAAGTTAAAAGTTAGATTAAAAAAAAAATTCTACAATATAAATACAAACATTTTAAAAAATTTATCTCAAATTAAAAAAAATTTTCGAAATTTATCTCAAAAATCGTAAATTTTAGGGGTTTCCACATATTTACGAGATACGAGGGAATTTTTTTCAAACTTTATGAGGTAATGCCTTCAATTAGTTATGATTTGTAATCTTATGACGTATCGTTGAAATAAATCGGTTTGGTAGATCAGAGTAAAAAAGGCTATGGACATAAAAAAACCTTATAGTAAAATTTATACCTTTTAAAATTCACATTGCAACTAAAATCTCTATTATTCTTTGAAATAATATTGTTTAAATAAATCTATATCTATTGTTAAAACAATAGATATAGGATTTTGAAAAATGTATAACTTTACAAAAATAGTATATTCTTTTTTTCTTATTAGAATAATTTCAGAAAATCAATAATAATAATAATAATTGTTCAACCATTTATCAACCTAAATAAAAAAAAAAATTATTTACAAAAAGAGTTAATTAATGAAAAATATACATTGGCTATTTCTTAAATTATCAAAAGAAAAATTGAGATAAGGTAAAATTTAAATATCTCTACTTAAAAAAAAAAGTTTAATTTAACTTTAACTTATTAAATTGTTTGTTGCTTATTTTTATTTTTTGTATTAATATTTATTATGATGAATATACGATTAAAAACCGAGAAAAAGAAAATAAGAGTTTTGTTTTGGAATTTTCCATTGCATAAATCTAATTGTGTAGTTGAAGAGCATTTAAAATGAAAAATGCATTTAAATCCAGGCTCTAATGATGAAGTATCCAATTTGAAAATCTAAGAATTGGAAAATTCAGAAAATTATTTTAAAAATTTTAAAACAAATGTAATTTATGACATTTATAATGGCATGCCATTTACATTAAAAGTGATCATATTGCGCATTATCCACTTTTCGAAACTCAGAATGTAAAACACTCAAATTTATATTATTTTAATTCTATGAATTATATGTTAATATTTGAACCTGCGACCATTATTGTGATTTGAATCTTGTTGTGGGAATTGTGAAACAGTTCTCTTATAGTACACCTTAAAAACAATTATTAGTCAAAGATTTAAAAATGGCAAAAAAAATATTGCTAACATAATTATTTAAAATGTACGAATAATACAAATAATTCAAAATATTAACTTGTTTTAAATATGAAGTAACATAATGTGGTGGTCTCTTTTTACCCTTTACTGCAAATTTTTGGTACTTAATAAAGGAAAATTTTCTCATTACATATTGTAATTATGTGTGCGCTTTAAACTCAGAATACTTTAAAAATTAAATTTTGAGAAATTACAAATGACACCTAGAGATGATAATAATCCGACAGGAAGCTGACTACTGCATACACACACACTATCTCGTTGGTAACTAATTTAAGTTAATGTCCTAGACAATAAGAGTAATAGTCGAGGAAATAGTAAAAAGTCAACTAGTGTTTGGGACACTCGTATTGTGACCCGGTGGCCGTGGATCCCAAAAGTGTTTATGTGTGCAATCTGTCCTCCTGTAGTAATGCTGTGTCAATGTTGTAGCCAAATCGGCGGTACTATGATGTTTCAGGATATGAACACATATATGTAATATCAGTTCATAATCAAAAAAATGATAATAATGATAAAATCAAGATTGAAAAAAATATGCAAGCATATTGTGATATGGACCCGGGCGCCCACATTCCCAAATCCGGTTATTTTCAAAATAAACAATTTGTAACTAGTTTTAATAATAATTACACAAAATAAATTTTTTTAACATTTAAATACCGTATATTCAACATTGTTAACTTTATCTCAATCGTCGGACGACTGCCTTGGAAAGTGGCAGTTCTTTCACTGTCTTTTGTGTTTCTAAATAATAGACGTTTACAATCTTACAAGGTCTTTCATTAAAAGGACACGAACGTGTACATTGAAGGCACCCCTCGATTGAGATGTCTACAGTCATGTCCGTGTACAATAATTGTATTATTTTTCTATTTTACCAGGCACACGTATTTCTATTTATTTTTGTTGACGCCAACGAACCCCAATGACAAATTTCGACAAGTACTGTGCGCGTTGAAACAACTAAAACGGAAAATTGACGCGTTTGTTTACTTGCAGTTTTTAATCACTTAGAGAATATTTAAAAACCGCAAGTACTGTACATCGAGCATTCGTTCTAAGCAAATAATAGGGGAATTTTTAATTTAAAAAAAGCTGCCCGGAACAATAATTGCAGCGGAGGACAATGTTTTTTGCAATTCACCTATTTGGCACGGCGTACACGCAAAAGCAGGCGCGGGGTTGTATTATATGTAAACATTATTGTCACGGCAGGCCCGGCGACAACGGAGAGCATAGTAGACGTGGCGCAGAAGACAAGTGGACACAGGGGATGATTATGTGCACACGTACTCGCTCATAATGCGCACAGACGTACTTGGTATGTGCGGTTAGTGCCGACAAACTACCCTTTAATCGGATTGAGGGAATAATATTTTTGGTTTCCGACCGTGACACGAACAGTGATTATTATTACCACCGGTGTCGGTTGGTGATATTTTTCAATTTCGGCGTAACCTCAAGACCCTTACGCGATTATTGTGATGTGTGCGAGGCAATTGCCCTTCTGAATGAACATTATTATTAGCGCTCAGCTGTCAGCGCCATTCCTATTTGCCGCAAAGTAAAACTTTTATGCGACGTGCTTTTCGATTTTATTTTACCGATTTAGAAAAACATATTATATTTTATTGAGAATGTGCTCAAATACACGTACATATTATCATCAAAATCGTCTATTTTTACCGGAAATTGGTTGCGTTTTGTATATCTCATGGGCATTAAGTTGTTGGATGTTTTTTCTGTTTTCATCTTAAAAAACATTTTTTTAGCATTAATTTGACGCAAGTTTAAAGGGCACAAGTTTTTTGTAACGTCAATTTTTTATAACCAATGGTTTCGGGTGGAATTTCAATTTTTAATAATTCCTATTGTATTTCTATTTAACTATAAGTTAATTTTAACTAATAAAATCACGAAACAAAACTAAAGTTGCTTAAATTGTTATTTTGTGTGCTGCGCATGTAACGAATGAATATTTTCGGTAATGGAAAAATGTTTCTATAGATTTTTTATAGAAGAATAAATTATTGAAAATATGAATGCCAGCACAGCGTTAGAAGACATCTGACAGCGATTAACATTATTATTGTGAAAAAAGGTTTCGATGAAGACCTGTTAAATTTTACAATTTCTATGATTTCAAATTATAATCGAATATTAAAAGCTTGTTAAATTGTTTACTTGATTGAAAATAGCGTTATTTTTTTTTAAGTGGCGATTTTTATGCTATGTCATCCAATTTCATATAGGATTGAAGTTGACAGACCTTCTACAACATTTTCAAAAATTGATTTGAAAAAAAAAACAATTATTTCATCCGTAAGTGATATCTTTCAAACACTTCTTGTATTTATGTTTTCATTGGCTTTGTATAAACAGCATATCAAAAGAAAATTTAACTTCTATTAAAATATTATTAGGATAAGTGTTTCTAAAAAAAAATTTACGTCAGTAGTAAAATATAGAAACATTTTTTTGAAAATGCGTCATTTTAAGTTATCTTTTTAGATTTCTGTAATTATATTTTTTTTTCTGATTTTTGGCGCTGAGAGGTTCAACTAGATTAAAATCGGTTTCTTTAGACGTATTGATTATTAAAATCGGTCCAATAAGAACTGAGCATTTTTATAAACAAACATAAAAAGAACACACATCACAAAATTAATACCTTTTCAACTTCGCATCGAAGTTAAAATAAAACTAAATAATTTCTTCTAGAATATTTAATAAAACATGCAAATTATTTAAAATAATGAATAGTTATTAAAAACTTAAGATGGAAAATAATCATCGTTTATAGTCATGCGACAACAAAATTATCAAAAATTTTCTAATAAACATTTGAATCAAAAATTATTCAAACACTTATTAATGTCTTTGTATTTTTATTACTTCTCAATGTTTTTTATATTTCTATGACTTCTGATTGTGTTGTAATTTTAATGGATTCTTAATGTTTCCTTTTGTTATTCAAAGACTAAAAATAATAACATTTAAAAAAAATTCTTCAGTGTAGATGCATTCGAAAAATTCCAAGTAAAAAAAACTTTATATAATCAACGTTAATTGGACTCGATGTGACCCGACCGTTACAGATTTAGTTACTTCTAAACATAATTCTACAGCGTTTGCTATCTCGAAAACATAAAATTGGACAATTGTTAAACTTTTATTGGATGTGAACTATATCTCTAACATTTTTTGATCGAGTTACCTAAAGCTTGAAATGATGTTCAATAAAATCAAATGATTATCATTACTCTAATTATTACTGCTAAACCAGGACAATGTATAGAGAACAACAGCTTCTCGGTTTTATTCATATAACACTACAAAATAATGTACGATGTGAGCCATATGGCAAATAATTTACAATATTTAAACACAGTCGGTCCCTCGAGATGTCGTTTTTCGCCGGCTTTCCCGTGATTGATACACTCTCGCTTTTCGTGTTTGTTTTTTGTACATTACCATGTCGTTTAATAACGGGGCAAGTAGAGAGTGCGGCACCCCGAAGGTTGTCGATTTAAATATTATGTTTGCTAGGGATTATGTAATATGTTTGTACGGAAGCTCTCCGTCACCACTACTGCCGCAGGCACACGTTAATCGCCCTCAGGACATCAACAAAATACATAATAGTCGAAACATCCGTCGAATAATTATTCGGTCGGTTAACCCTCTTTTTATTTGTAGGGTATTTTTGACCGAACGGTGTGCACAGTCAGTTATTTTTATTTTCAGAGGGAACTAAACGCCTAATTATCAAGTGAAATAATTTCTAAAAAACGTGTCATACACATTCGTGTGTTTAACGAGACGGTGGTAGTTTGTATCGCGGTTCAATGAAGACTTCATGTAATAATTTGAGTGGTTTAAGCAATAGAAAACAATCGTGTTCGGTATTCATGTGTTTTAGCAACCTCTCCCCGAACGAATAAAAAAAATGAAGCGTTTCCAAATAGATAAGATAATAATAAATTTGATCGCGTGCGATAGATATAATGGGTTTGAACAACTTATCATACTTTTATCCCGTTTCTGCCCTACGTCTTGAAGTGGTTTTATTAAACGTCACGCGATCAGAATTGTAATTGGTTTTTATATATATTATTTACTTGTGGTTTTAACAGTCGTTTTAACCGACAAAAATAAAACAAGTAGGTACTTGATCAAAATAAACATGTCAAAAATCAAAAATATTTCGAGACAATTTTTCGAAAAAGTATCAGAGGTTTCGTACAAATCTAATTAACGATTTGTAATCTAAGAAGATTTCAAAAGTTGTTTGTAAAATATATATTTTCCCTAGTAAATTTATAAAACCGTATTGTCTTTTAAGTAACATATTCAATTGCTGTTGATAGGATTCCATGAAACTTTCTTCGTCTAATCAATTTCACGGTGCATTAAAAATCAGACCTATTTAATTGAAATGTGATTTGTAGAGCGTTATAATAGACTGTTTAAAACGCGGAGTGTGTTGAAAAGGGTGTCCTCCCATTTTTTTTATGTTCAAATGCCATTGTACGAATTAAATTAAAAGAATGGATAACTTAATCCTTTTTTACGGACTGTCACCGACAAGTCTGGCGGTAATGGGTCACCGAGTGGTTTGATTTGCCTAACTCTTAAAACTTTCACACGATTTTAATTAATAATCCCGATATTAATTAAACCGGCTAGACCGAACAGTAGGTACATTCGTCAGCAGAAATTTAGTCGGAAATACGGTACTGTGTTGAGTACAATTTGAATATTCTTACTAACTTGAATGTTTTTTTTTTTTTTTGCTCGGTAATAGAAACCGTGTCTTTAATCCGCCTATTATTGGGAATATATCGTAACAATATTTATGTATATACTTTTGATCGCGATTGTCTCGTCACAAGAAAACCACTCGACTTTGCAGCAGTCGGATCGTAACATCGTAAAAATTGAGGGATTCACTTTGATTTCCAAGTCGAGTGGTTGTGAGCGATCAAAACATAAGTCATCGTCGCGCGACTCCCCTTTTTTTATGCGTTGACTTTATTATTTTTATTATACTTCTCGTTGTTGAGCACGTTCTTTTTGATCGAGCTGTATAAATAATATTATTTCTATTATTTGTGTTTTGCGCTTTTTTAACTTTTGAAGTGACAAGCAACCTGCGTCGACACGATCAAAGAGAGTAATGGATGGCAGTTTTAATTGCATTGCGTGCCGCCGCACAGGAAACACGGCGTAATGACCAACAGTAGTTATCTAAGGTAGGAAGCGGCCGGAAAAACAAAATAAATATTCAGGGTTGTTCCTTTGGCCAAATATCTACAAAACAGTGACCTTTAATGTTAACAAAATCAACAGCTAAATAAACACCATTTAGATTGTATCTTATCCGCCTTTTAAATTTTTTTCTTAAGTTTCGTATACGACCATGATTAATGCTCATAAATCAAATGGAATTTTATGCTTAACTCGAAATTCATTTAGAACTGTAATTTATAATTATAAATCTAAAAACAACGTTACCTTCGTTCTTTTTTTTTCAAGTACATCTGAACTTAACTTAGGTTTATTTCATGATTAACCAGCAATTTAATAATTTTTTTATAGTTTTGCATGGACCAACAAATGACTATGATCGGCGAAGGCCGTAAGAAGCCAACAGATTTTTCTATCGCTCGGATTATGATGAAAGATGAGCCCCGTCCTACGGCTTTTAAAGAATATATACCAACATCTTTGAAACAAACATCAATATCACCTTTACCGTACAATATGTTATCGTTTTCTGTCATGCATAATATATTCCAGAGACCTATTATAAGAATCAAACAACCGCATTCTTCAATATCTGACAAAGGGATCATATCCTCATCTACTCCGGGAAAAGATTCTGGGCAAACATCAGCTGGACCACCTAAAATCTTTACCTGTCCACACTGTGGCAAACATTTTCAAGCTCATTATAACTTAACCCGTCATATGCCTGTTCATACAGGAGCAAGGCCGTTTATGTGTAAGGTGAGTTATATAAATAAAGCTTTTGACAACAAATGATTACTTAATTTTAACAAAAATTAATTATTACTTTTACAAACATAAATTATTTATGTTTATATAAAAAAAAATATATTTTAGTTTTGTAAAAAATGTATGATTTATGATGTTTTTTAAAAAAAATACACTAAAATATTTCTGGTTTCGTTTTTTTTTTTTGGCTTTAATTTGATTTTAAAAATGTAATTTTTATATTTAGTTCGATATGCTTTAGTCTCTTTTATACTTAACCCACTCAACCTGAGACCCTACAAAATATTGAATTAAAATTATGTTAATAAAATTTAAATAAGAACATAAAAAAAATGTAATATATTATTGTGAATTATCTATTGAATCTGTGTCACTTTTTTTGTTATAAATCATTTGTCATAGATAAGGTATTTCCACATCATAAACTTAACTAGGATGGATTTATTTTAACTTTCTAAAAACAACTAAAACTAAACTAGATGGGTATAAAATACAATTAGCAAACTGAAAATTGTATTCTAGTGGTTTCATACGAATTTGGATGTGTATTAATAAGTCGTTAACAGTTTAGTCAAGTCTCTATTACACTATTTTTATACGTTTTATTAAATAAGGTATACAATCAAACACAGAAGAAACTGTATAAAAATGGAAAAAAAGGACCGACGCTTGAGGTGTATGATGAGAGTCCATAGACGAACCTCCACTAGCTATCGTCTTATAAAAAAAGTATAATTTCATATTTTTTAGTAAAACTTCTGGCTGCAACAATATTTCAGATAACTAAAGATTTAATATGATCCCCTTTTGTTCTGACAGTAATGTACCATTCCAAAGTAGTTGAACGTAATATTATAGTAATACGTTCTAATAAGTACTCGAAACGATAGATAAACAAAAAATAGACCCCAAGTGTTGCTCAACGATTAATGGAGGGGAAAATATTTTTGTCTCCCTAGATGTATTACAAGATGTATTGTTAAAACATCTCTTCAACTTTAGTTTTATCCCTACTACACAACTATTTATAGTTGTTTTATTATTTCATAATCTTTTACCATTAATTGAATTTATATAGGTATGTGGTAAAGGATTCCGACAAGCGAGTACTCTTTGCAGACACAAAATCATTCATACTCAAGATAGACCTCACCATTGTGGCGTTTGTGGGAAATCTTTTAATCGTAGCTCTACATTAAATACTCATACAAGAATTCATACGGGTGTAAAGCCTTATCGATGCGAAGTGTGCGACCGCCGTTTCCACCAGAAAGGAAATTACTTAAATCACACTTTGACCCACAACAGTGTTAAGCAGTATAGATGTTCAGTGTGCGGAAAATCTTTTCATCAGGTATTTTTTTAACATGCCGGCTAATTAATTTATAACTTCAATGCTTTAAAGTATGCAAATGTTATATACATGTTGGTTGTTCAACCATTCAAGGAAGAATTCAATATTTATCATACTCCTTTAACCAATGATGACATTAAATTTTATTGGTTTGTGATATAATACATAAATGAGATCCAAAATATTTGATAGCTTTTCTCATTATGAATATAATTACTTTTTGTTAATAAAAAAATATTGATACTAAACTATTTTGTCCACAAGATAAAAAATTTGCAACCTCCAAAAAAAAAAAAAATTTAATTTTTCGGAAGAGGGGAATATAATAATGGGAAAATGTAGCTTACCATAAATTTTATTATTTAATACTATAAAATAACTCCCATAGGTAAATTTTATAAGCTAGGCCCACGGTAACACCTAAAGTTCGTCAGTATTCGCAATCGTCATTTTTTTATTAACCTAATCTTTATAAAGTATACTTTAAATAGTTCAATAGTTATTATTCAATTACTACCTTTTATTGAATTATTTTATATTTGAAACTATAAAATCCCTAATGAATTTTGTTAAAATGTTATTATCACATTTAATACTAAACATTTTTTTCTTCAAAAATGTATGCAACAATAAAAGCAATAAATAATTTTCACTGAAAAATAAAAATAGTATTTTATGTGTTATTTAACAATATAAAAAAATAAACAATGACAAAATGTCTAAAATGTTATAAATAATTGGCTTACTTGAAATAAAAGTTTAGAGCTTAATATTTCCTTTAACTTGAAAGCCAAGAAACAAGTTTTTTAATTTATACAATTATTGAAAAAACAGATACACAGCTTGACTTAACTTTTTCTTATTACTTTTATGTTTATTTAAAACATTTTGACGTTTTTAATTAGTTGATCATCAAAAATGATCATTTATTTTTTTAATTTAGATTTACAACTTGACATTTCATATGCATACTCATCGGGATAAAAAACCATTCCAGTGTACAGTGTGCAACAAAGGATTTTGTAGAAATTTTGATTTGAAGAAACATAAGCGCAAACTTCATCCTGAAGAGGAGGACGCTGTGCTTTCTTATCATCATCAATTTTAAATCTACTTACCTCATTATAAGAAAATAACAATGACGGCCATTTAGATCTATGAACTAATAGAAATATAAAATTAGTGGTTTCAATAGTATGTTAATTTTTAATTGTATCCTTATTTGTTTTATTAAAGCGTTTTGTGATTGATATTCGTAATAATGTTTCCAAATTTGTTTTTGGTAAAATCGTTAGTTTTTCATAAATCTTTCTCCAGTGTCACACACTCCTATTTCTCCTACTAATAATATGTACATCATGTACAATATGTATATTATAAACATTCAATGAATGTGTCATGTGAAGCGGTAAAGATTATTTCCGGAGAATATAATATTTTCTGCCCTCTTCACTAGGATAATTGGTTTGTTTGCACTGTTGAATGAAAAGGCGGTAGAGCGGCAATGTCCCCTTAGTTTCACTAATAATACATCAGTCTTATTGTGTTTTGTTCAATTTGAACACCCCTATAAATACCCTTTTCTCCGAATAATACGGTTCCTTTTGAAGGTGCAAAGGTGTTAATAAACAGACCGTATTTAAAATCCTGAAATTCCATACACACAATAAAAGTGAATCGATGCACAACTTATTTTGATGTCGACAAGCTTACCGAAATACGGGGGCATTATGTGCGACTAAAAAGTTTTGAATATATATGCTTATTGTAGTGGGGTAGACAAATTTATCCCTAGTGTGAGAAAGGTGTATTCGAAAATATAATATGAGGAAAACAGCAGAACTCTCTAGCGTCAAATATTTTTCATATAGTTTGTATTCAAAATCACTAGATAGCTCTGTATGTTTTTAAGAAACCGCAGGTTTTTATTTTATTTTCATATAAATTTTATCAATTTTTATCAAACTGAAAACATAATAAATACATTAAAAAACCCAGCACAGGGGGGTCGCGGCACAGTGGTGACGTGACATAGTTGGATAAAGTAAAATGATATCTGACAGTGATTAAAATCACTATAAAAAAAACGCTTCGATGCAAATCTTTAAATAGTGTTTAATTTTAAAAAATTTGTGGATTATTCCAAAAGCTACATGATCTGCTATTTTCTTATTAATATCCTAAATGAAAAAGGGATCATTAAAAAATATTATTTCTCATAAAAAAATTGTGTTGATCCATACACTTTTCAATAAGGTATAGCATTTTAAAGTAAAAAATGTAAATTATAAAATCGAGAATTTTCACACAAAAATAGAATTCGGTAGCCATTTTCACCACGAAGACAAGTCCAGAGGTCAAATTTTTTTTTTCAAATTAAAGTATATTACATTATCTTTAATTTAAGATATATATAAAAGTGTCAGTATTTCCGGAACACTTTCAAAAGTTAAGTGGAAAAAGTTATTTTTTTATGAAAAAGTTGTCATTTAGAATCCTCAACCCATGGGTTGGTAAAGGGTTAGATTTATAAAAAATATATACAAAATAATAAGTAAAGACATCAAGCATCTATATAAAAAAAATTATATTAATATATTCATTTTTGAAAAAGTTATGGCAGTTTTAAGTAAAAAAAATTGAAAAAATTGAAAAAATTTCGAAAATTAGCAATTTTTAAATTTGTAATTTTTTTGGAGGTTTTCCCCATTTACGGGGAACGAGGGAAAATTTTTCAATTTTTGAGGGTAATGTCTTCGACTAGATTCGATTTGTGATCTTTTGACGTATCTTTGAAAGAAATCCGTTCGGTGAGAGCTGAGAAAAAGTGGTAACAGACACAAAAAAAAAACACACACATCATAGTAAAACCAATACCTTCTCAGCTTTGCATCGATGCTAAAATTACACGGCTCAAAAATCCTAATATGTTTTGTTCTTACGGTTAAATTATATTGCTAAATATGACTCATTTGTCAAACTAATTAATACTTTCAATTACTTTAAGTAGAATTCACTAATACTAATACCGCTTAGAGCTAATATAAACACATAACAATTATTCTGTTTGCTATATTTCGAAGAATTAATTTCATAATTACAATGATCAGTTACAATAGTTTATAGATGTAATCAGTGGAATCATTTTTGTTTTTTTAGAAGGTATAATCTTTTTAATGGGCCACATTGCTATATTTTTTACTAATATAAAAATATAATTTACTAAAAAATGATCTTTAAAATTTTTTTTCAACTTTCATGTTGCATGAAGGATGAAAAAAATTTCTTTGATTTATTTTCTTTAAATTTATATTAATAAAAAGAAACTTTAATGTTTAGCTGAATTCAAAGTAATTTTTACTATAAAAATTATAATGAATACAAGTTTTATGATTTATTAGTACAACACATAAATGAATTGTTATTTATTATTTTATATAGTAATTTTTATTTGGTATGATCAGTATCATACGGATAAAGTACTTAATTACTGGAAAAGAACAATTCAATACGTTGATTGTTTTTACACGCTGAATAAATTTTATCATGTGTAATTATTAATTTTAATATACTGAGTTACTGGGTATTAAATGTACCCGACTTAATCTTTCATAAAATTCTGTATTATTTTATAAACAAATAAATTCAATTTTTTTTCCCTTATACACGTTTGAAAAATATAATTAATATTTTGATAATTCTCTGTAATATAATGTGTTTGTGAAATAAGTGATATAATTATCATATACTGAGCTTATAGAATTATTTTCAACGAATTTTAGCTTCGATGGAAAGCTGAGAAAGTATTGATTTTACCACGATGTGTTCATTTTTTAATTTTTAATTTTTTTTGTGTCTGTCACTAAGACACAGCTCTCACTGGATCGATTTTTCTCAATGATAAGTTAAAAGATCACTAATTGTATCTAGTTGAAGACATTATTCTCAAAAATAAAAAGTTTTTCCCTCGTTCATCGTAAATGGTGGAAATCCCCCAAAATTACGATTTTTAAAAACGGTAAATATCGACATTTTAGTAGTTAAAAAAAATGTTATTTTTGTGTTCAAATATTATTTTTGTTTGTTTATTTTAAATTACCTTATAAGGGTTTGCTATGTAACGAGTCAGACAATAAATATAAAATTTACATGATCTAACTTACATTAAATATAAATTTATACTTATTTTGATTATTTTGTCTCATCAAAGTTGAGAAAAGCTCTTTTGAATTTTTGAAGATTTGTATAAAAGTAGAACTTTTTTAACCTAACGTTAGAAAATGTTTCAAGAAATCTGCGTATTTTAAATATATGATAAATTAAGCTTATTTTATGTACTAAAAGTTCAAACCAAATTTGTATCGACGACCTGTTTTTTATGTGCAAATGGCAGTCAAAGTAGAAATAAATTAATTTTGCTTTTGGAATAATCCACCAATTTCTTAAAATTAAACACTATCTACAGATTTCCATCAAGGCTTTTTTTATGATAGTGATTATCAGATATCATCTAAACTTGTCCCAACTATGCCTCGTCCACAGTGGCGTATTTTGGGGGGTGTCCAGACATGGAGGACACCCCCCAAAAAAAAAAACCCCCCGACTTAAAAAAAATGCCTAATATATTGGTATTAACTTTTTTTATAATATACTATATTTATTTACTATAAAATAAATGGTACTTCAAATAAATAACAAAATTGAAGATAATTTGATAGGATTCGACGACACGTATTTATTTATCTACATTTTATCAGAGATTTCTAGAAATTATTTGGATTTCATTGGGTCATTATATAACAAAAATATCCGTAGAAAAAAATAATAACAACGGAAATATTCTGAACTTGTAGTTCATTTTTAACTTTATTTTATAGTTTATCAGTTTAGAGAATTATAAACAAATAAGTTTAGTTACCCCTATTCAATATACCGCCGCATTCATAAAAAATACAGAAAAGAATTTTTTATAATTAAAATAGTATTTAAAAAATAAACAAAAGTTATGAAATTCTTTATGAATCGTCATTTAATAAAATTAAAATTAAGTTGTTAAGATAGTAGATATGCTTGTTAATTTAAAAATTTATAATTGGCTGACTTTTTAACTTAATTGTATCCATAACTGTATATTATAATATTTGTATATTCACATAACAAGAACATTAAATTATTTCAGTTAAGATAAATTTATATTAAATTTGAATTTCTTAAATGAAATGTTACAAAGAAAAATGAGATTAAAATAAAATAACAAAACAACAATTAAACATAGAAAAA